TCTTCTTTTTTCTCGTTAAATTTGAGGAGAAGGACCTTAAAAATTTCCAAAGCATCCCCAAGAGGAGCGCTTTTTCACATCGGCTTCATTTTTTCGACAGCACACTTAATCCTGTGATGTCGCATACTCCAACGATTGAAGGCGCCCCGCTTGACAACTTTTAAATCAGCAAATTATTGCTCTTACTTGGCCAAATAAAGGAATAAAAGTTGAAACCTTTGATTTCCTTAAACTAGAGGGTATTTGAAAGATAACAGTTTCTGGAATTTTCATTTTTTGCGTTTCCTCAAATTTGCCGCCATGTTGAATTTTCCGAAATTTTATTTTGAAACAATGCCATCCAGACTTGTGACAACGTCAGTTGCTTTTCCTATTCCTAAAAAGCACTTTTCAAACTTTTCATTCCTGGTTTGTTTTTGTTTTCCCGATAATTTGGAGCTCATCGGCGATTTTTTGAAAAGTGGTCTATTTAAAACTTTGACCGGCTGTAACTTTTGAACGAAATAACCGATTTTAATTTTATTTGCGCCATTTTTCTTGTCTTTCTAAGTTCTTTATAACCATGTCTAAAAAAATGGGGGTTGCCATTTGAATTTTTGAAGTTGCCCCCCCCTGGGGCTCCCCCAGGGGGGTCCACCAGGAAAAGCCCCCCATCGAAAAATTTCCCCTTTTATATGATGAAGAATGCCACAAACCGCGACCTTCTATCTTTTTTTGTTCAAAAATTATACCCACTTTTCAGTTACTTTACGGACACCCGGTAGTTATCTAAGTACTCATTCAGTTGTTTCTGTACTTTTTAATGCCTTTTTTCCCTATTATCTTTATTTCACAATTGACATCAGTGGATGGAATTTAATGTTATCACAGACTGTATATTACTGCTCCAATATACCACTTTTTGTTTCCTTCGTTATTAACAGTTCCTGCTGGAGCATAATGATCAAAGTCATTGCTGATATTTATTGAATACTTACTTTATCTGTGGATAATTTTCCCCATTTTTCTTTTCCAGGGTCAATTTTCAGCGTTTTGTTCCGAAGTGTGATTTCATCAAGAATTCCTTAGTTTTTCAGGTAATATTTCTTCTTTTTCAGGTAATATTTGTTCTTAGTTTTACTTTGCAGCTGAAAGTCTGTGAGAATTCTCATGAACTTTCAGCTGCGAAACCCAAACATTACCTCAGATTTTTGTTTTTACCCACCATTTTCTTGAAAAAGCGTGGAAAATCGTGAAAAAATAACTATAAACTCATTCTCCAAGGAAAATTAACTGCTCAAGGAACAAAGAGGGTGATGAAAAGAAATGGAGGTCACATTCGGATTAAATAGCTCTAAATATATAAGAATCATTGTGACACCGGTCCAAAATATTTGAAAAAGAAAATTTGCATGCATGGCAAAAATATGTAATATTTGCTCTTTTTCCCTGGAAAAAGTGACTGTTCCGAAAGACTGAGAAGTGGTTCAGCCAATTCTGGACTCAGCATCAAAATACATCAGATGAGACCTATCTTGTACCAGCAAAAAATTTCACCTACATTTTGCAGGGTGTAACAATTGAAAAAAAATCAAAGCTGCCCTTTTTTCCAAACAAAATTGGTTTTTATAGAAAATCAAAGAGTGATGGGAAAAACGAAAGTCATTTGCAAATTTAGCTCCTCAAAATGCACTTGGGTTCTTTTATCCCGTCCCGGAGACATATTGTTGTTTTTTGTTGCACTATGTGTTCTGGTTAAATTAAGCATCTGGAGCGTACCAATTTTATAATGAGCTGTACAGTCTAACAGCTGAATCATTGGGTCTCGTTTACACAAGCGCGGTTCGCGTAACTTTGAGCAAACTTGTTCCAGGAACTTGTCATAACTCAGCTACAATTTATTCTGTCAAACTTCAGTTTGATGAACTAATTTGTTCAAAAGTTCCGCAAACTGTGCTCGTGTGGACAAGGTATAATAATGAAGTTGAATTTTCTTTGTTAATTGAATTTTTTTTATATAATTTTTTTCAAGTTTATAATATAAAGGTTCGGGTCCTTTCTAAAACCGATTCTGCTCAAATTCATGACAAGAACATGTTTTTTTTCCATCGAACTTATCTCAGTTTAATTTATTTGATTAGGGTGGCTTTCAGTATCGGAGGTTCAAGAGTTAATTTTTACTGCAAGTCTCTGACTTTTTCATGTGTTTGAATGGTTTTTTTTTTCCTTCCTTCTCAGGCTCTTCAAGATGAAGCAATCCGTAAAGAGAAGTCTGAA